ATGACCTCTTGTTTGTGACCTGTCTTACGTTCTAACGTGTCCCAGTAGGTTTGGGACACTTTCCAAGCCCCGGGCAGGGTTGGGTTATCTTAAACAGGCTCCTGCTCAGTGAGGTCCCTCACGTTCATATGCTCTTAATTCCTCCTCCGCTTTCTGCTCCAACCTGGAGGAACGACAGAGTCGCCGTGCCAATGTCGTTCGCGATCAGGTTACAGCTAGCCATCTCTCGCTCGGGCTTCTCTCTGCCCACAACGCCGCACAGTGCACAGGCAGAGACTCTTTTGTGTGAGGCAAGGGAACAAAGAAGAGGACCTGAAAAAGAAAGGTCATATGTCCCCAGCTGGTTGGCAATGCTTTTTAAGCTCCAGGGGTTTATGATTATATTGCCATTACAGGGCTCGCACGGAATGAGACCTGTTAACGCTGGCGTTTTTTTTTTTTTTGTGCCATCAGAGTCGAAGCAGAATTTTATCTTTGGCTTTTTGAATTAATACTCGGAAGAAGTTAAAACAGGGCTTGTAGATGATGTGCAGTGAGTCAGATGGCTAGAAGTTGAAACTGTCAACTGCATTGTTATAGAACAGATTGGGAAACAAAGTATGCGGTGCTAGCTAGTAATTATCTGCGCATTTCACAAAGCAAATCTCTGTGCTATAGATGTTTCGTTATTTCTTAGTTTCTGTCTAGCCATGTGTGTCCGCATTTGATACCATTTTTCAGTTCTGCTTCATTTCACCTCCCCCTTTCTGAAAACTATAAATCACAGCTGTGAGAGGTTAACGCTAGTATTGTTTCGTAGCTTCAATTAACCCAGTAATGAATCCGAGATTGCAAAGTAACAGAAGGAGTTTTATTTAGTTATTTTGGAAGCTGTAGTCAGTTGTACCCTATTGATTGATGAAAAGGAAGACATAGTTGTTTTTTTAGTAAAAGACTCACAACTAATTGCAATATACGAATATGCAATCTACATCTATATATAAACTTATTTCAATAAATCAAATTAACCTTTTTACTGGTCATAATTTGGCAAAATGTAATTTTTCTTTCCAGTGATTCATGCGATAGTTTTCTTGCCTGGATTATCTGCAGGCATATTTATAAAAAAAAAACTATATATATATAATAGGTGGGCTGAGAGAACATGGAGAATTGCTTTTGGGTATATCTGAATGTCAGAGCTTATACAACTTCAATCTTTCAAATTGTAATTCTTAGTCAGTGATATTCTGTCCCCTAGGGAAATGGCATATGTCAATCAAATGTTCACAGAAAGCATGCCATCTTTAATTTGAGACTCTCCTGAAGCACTAAGTACCTACTGTATATACGTTTATACAAGTAGTGTTTAAGTACAGTACAAGTGTGGTGTTTTTATTTTGTGTGAGTTTTCTCTTTGCACTAATGAACAGTAAGCATTGAGAGAAATGGAATAACATTCTTCTTATGAACTTCAAGGATATAGAACACACAGGATATAGAAGAAACAGAAAAAGTGTTTTGTCTCCATTTAAATGAACAAATTGTTCTAGGATGCTTTAATTCATTAACATGTCATGTATGCAGCAGTTCTTATTTGCTTTGGTTTAATGAAAGGTGAAAATTCAAATAATTTTAATTTCTTGTGCATTGTGTTCTTGGTTCATTCAGAAAAGAATTTACGAAGATGACAGGTTAGAAAAGGGAAAGATATTTTATTTGGGCTCCATACACCAATATTTCAGGACCTATGGTCTTGGTTTAATCAGAACAATAAAAATGAGTTTCTTTCCGGATTTTTTCAGCTTTCAGAAAAAATATTCCAGTTACAATCACATTAAGGACAAATGGGCCATCCTCCTTTGAGACATTTTTGATTTTTATACGGCTTATATTTTATGCGGCTTAACAGTGGCAGAAATACAGGCAGCAATCTAAGCACCATGGTTTCAGCAGTGGCAGTTGAGTACTGTAGCTTCCATTAAGGAGTTCCCTTTGCTTTTATGTTGTTCCTGAAAGCTAAAACTAATGGAATATTGATAAGCAGTCAGAAACCACAGAGAGGGAATTCTCAGCACACAAGGCAAGGTTTGTCACAGAGGAATGAAAGAATAGACCCTTCTGAGATGGGTAAAAATGCCCTGGAAGATTTTAGCATGTCATGGAGGGATACTCAGAACACACATCAGGCTAAGCAAAAAAGTAAAGAAATATTATTCATTTAAATGTAAATATTCATAATATTGCATTTAAAGACCCATGTTTCATTGTTGCATGAATGCATGTTCTTTCCTGTCAAGCGGTGTTTTGCTTTAACATCTTAAAAATCATGTATACTAATGGCAGAAAAATAATACAATTAGAGATTTTAACTTGTCCATTTCTAATGACAGACATAGTTCAAAACTCTTAGATAACTGGTAATCATTCTCATTGGCTGCATTTATTTAAGTGCAAAGAAATATTTTATTGTGATTTCCTAGGCTGTTTTGAATATTTCTCTCTATCGGTAAACGATAGCAAACTAGTTGGGCGAGATGGGCTAAATGGTCATCTCTCAGCTTGTGCAGGAAACCATTCCTACTGTATGTTCAATCGTGTTACAAAATCCTCCTGGCAGGTATGTGCAGGAATTAAATATCAAAGACATCACATTCAAATTGGTTCTGCATTAGCCTGAAGCAAGAATAAAGCTTCATTCCAGTACATTCAGATTACCTTAAATATTGTAAGAAAAGCAGGACATTCTGAAACTACGTTTTTTTAACAAGGTGGATGACATTTCTTTTGACCTTTCAGAAGGGCTTCCATTAAGTGTTTAAAATATATTCATTTTCGAAAAAGAAAAAGATCAGTGTGCGTTTTTTCACATTTCATTTTGAATGGGAATAGAATTATCTAGGTATGATATGAGCCATTGTTCAATGCCATTTATATTCCATTAGACACGTCTACAATAAAGACTAGAGAAGAAATTATTCACAGCAAACACAAAGATAACACATAGAATTTGTTCGACTGATTTTTTTATCCTTATGTTTATAGAATAGCTCAGTGCCTTGTGTTTCCCTGATTGAGCAAATAAGGACAATCTGTACATTTGCTGAGAATAGCACCTCTCTGTAGTCTACACAGAAACCATAAACTTGCCTGAAAATGTTTTGACAAGGAAAGTCACCTTGAACGTTTAAACGTAAAGATAAAGTGTTGAAGATCTGCTAATTTTTTTCTTTTATAAAGAAGTGAGATTTGACCTCCGTTGTAATGGTGTCTACAAAGAAAAGTGGTAGTACTGATCTGGAATATTACAGAACTAGAGACAGCACAGGAAACATTTATAGGTCTATAGGATAATTTTTTTTGCCATGTATTGTGGAGAATCATCAAGATGCCATTATGTGGTGAATTGTTGTAAAATGTGGTAGCTCAGGTGGAAACATACTGTAGCACAGGAGACTGAGGTGCACAGTTATGAGTTTCCCATTTTGCTTTTTCTTCTTTTGCTTCTCTTAAAGCCAATTAACACTGATATATTAGCAAGTACTCTTGTTTTTCACAATAAACACTTCAGGATGGCATTTACTGTATATTAACATATCAAATATTAAGCACACAGCAATTGTATTCCATTATTTTTGTTTTATTCTATTTTGTAGATGTTCTGTATTTAGCCCAGTATACTTCTAAACAAGCAGAAACAACAACTTACAGATACAATTGTACACAGGACAGATTGAGAACCATTGATTGATGAATGAAAAACAACCCTAACTTGAAAGTCTGCTTTCAAGAATAATGTATTATTAATGTAAATAATCTGATATAAAGTGCTAAAACACTCTGATACAAATACATTTGAGGCATTTAACACATTATATATTTTGTATATTTTGTAACATCAGGCATGCATTCTTCTTCTTAATTATATTGGCGACAGCAACAAGAGTACGAACAAGAACGAGAATGAGAACATAAAACAAGAACCAGAACACAATTTTACTTTTCATCCAGATGGGTCCCGAGGAGCTTTATAAATGGGAGGGACTCCACCCACCACTGAGTTTCAGACTCTACTTGGGTGACGTGCAGTAGACAGCAGCTGATCCAGCAGACCCACTACATAGCCAATTAGGTACAAAAATGAGAACTTGCTTCATCAGGTGAATTAAGACCTCAGTTAGTATGTGAATACCCAAAGTTGACATTAACCGAATAAACATCTTTATTCTTGTGAACTGTGCCATGGAATCTTTACATTTTCATTTTAAAGTTAAAATGTCATCTTAATGATAGCACCTGTTAGAACACATGGTCCCCAGCTACCACACGGGGTTAGAGTTCTCAAGGTTTATAATTAAGATATTATTCATTATCCAGTACTTTCTATAATATTTGCTATTAACATTCAGAGCTGAAGTACTGTGTTGAATTAAGGCATTCATTTATGGAGATTCTTTAACGAAATATACATATTGGCAAAAGAGCACGTCGCTTGCTTTTTTGAGCTTCAACGTGCTCAAGAATGTGGACAAAGCAAACATATGTCAACTTAAAAACAGTATTTTTCGCTATTTTAAGTATTTTTGTTCTTGAAATAAATATTCTGCTCAATCAGTATTCTATCACTCTGTGGTTTGAAAAAAATCTGAAATTCTCAACTTAATGCAGTTAAAATATGTACATTTTATTCCTTTCAGAATTCCCTTTTTTTCTGTATCACATCTACTGTTCCTTTACTTTTAAATGAAGAAGATTTTTTTACTAGTGGTGTGCTGTGGGGATGAGAGACAATAGCTGCTGAATTTATGAATGATATATGTAAAGCCCCCTTTAAAACGGTGTGTAGATATACAGTTTGAGCTCCTATCCCTAAATCTAAATAAATCGTAACTGCGTTGCAAACATGATTTTGAATGTCCAACAGATCTAATTGACTCTGTGGTGCTTAAGACCGAGCCAACAGGTCTTGTGAGGAAAGGGTTAACAACCTTGAATAGATTCCTCTGAGACTGTAGCTGATGTCTGCCTCCCGCTCTGCTCATCCATTAATTAATTCTCTGAGCCGTTTTCTGTTTTTCTTTATTAACCGCTCGCACTGTGGAAGGCAGGACGTGAAGGTCAGTAGTGGTGGGGGGGCAGAGGTTAAATGCCAGATCACCAGCATAGAGAGCATTCACCATCATTTCCTTTTGCAGATTCATTGGAAATCCCTTGCTGGCTGAGGGAAGCACGTTGCCCTGTGATGTAGCAGAGAGAGAGAGAGAAGGGGGGGGGAGAGTGAACAAGCAAGCAACCGAGACAGCGAGAGAGAGAGCGGGGAGAGAGATCTTTTGCAGGCATTCAGCTTGTCAGAGCTGTGCTGGATGGTGTCTGGCTGTAGATCCGCTATTTGGGAAGAGACCTACCACGAGAAAGAGAGGGGGGAAAGAAAGGAGAAGGAGGAAGCAGCAAGTGACTCACTAGAAACGTGTCCATTTCCAGATTGCATGGATAACTGAAGAGTCTCTCTCTCTGCCTGTACACTAGGAGCATCCCACTGACAGAACCAGACCTTAAGCTGTGCATCAGGCTTGAACAACCTTCACGGAGATCCTTATCAGGATTGACATCGGAACACTTACATCGGCTACGCCATGAACTTCCTGCGGCGCAGGCTGTCAGACAGCAGTTTCATTGCCAACCTGCCCAATGGGTACATGACCGACCTCCAGAGGCCAGAACCCCAGCAGCCACCACCCCCGGCCCCGGCTCCCGCTACGTCTCCTGCCCCAGAGAGACGGCAGGCCGCCCAGTCAACGGGAGGAGGCTTCTTCAGCTCCATCTCCAATGTTGTGAAGCAAACGGCCGCCTCGGCAGGATTAGTGGAGCAGACCCCCACCACAGTGACCAAGAAGTTCAAGGTTCTTCTGGTCATTGATGAGGCGCACAATGACTGGTAGGTCAAAGCCATACCCGAAGCCATTGAGTGTGGATGAGTTATGCAGTTCAAGAGGTCTGCTTATTTATCATCTGATTTAATTTTAAACTCCACATTTGTTAGGATTTAGGAACTCTGAAGTAATTTAGTACGGCACAAAACAGTAGTAGACTGTAGAGAAAAGAAACAACAGGCAAAACAGTCCAGCAAACCCTGCTGTAGAGAAGGACACAACTAGATTATCAGCACCTTGGAGAGTAACTTATGCAACTTCATTTTCTCTTGCAAAGACATGTCTGTCTTTTTGCAGTCAGTACTTGGAATCTTTGCATCACCACAAAGAGTTGAAAATATGTAATGATTTGTTTTTTATTTTCTAGCTTACTTATAATATTTTAACTAGCCTACACATATCTTCTAAAATACCGGTAATGTGGTTATATTAGGGCTGTCTAAGCATACTTACGGAAAAGAAGACATTTTTAATTTAAACCTTTTAAATTTAGGAAAACAATCACCTATCAGTCTTAAAAAAGGAAATTTTCAGTTTGTATATTCATGGATTGCCACTGTCCCACCTTTGGAAATTGTTTCTCGTGCTTATGTCTCTTGTTTCAAAGTACTGCAAGTAATTCTGATTTTTTATCCACATTCCTCCATATTTAAATTATCTACATTAAGCATTGCATAATACACATATACATGATATACTGTACTTTATTGTGGTGATTCCTGTAACAGATTAGATTTATCTCCACATAATGAGGAAGGCATTAGATGTAAAATGATAACATTTGTCTTTTTTCCTTGGGATTATGTAGCTACTGTATGTCTGTGTGAAGCTGGCACTGCTATGACAAAAGACAGGTGTCTCAACTAAACCTTTTACTGCTTAGCTTAGGATTTGATTGATGTATGATCTTCTCCACATTCTGTATGTACCTACAGTATGCATATTTATAAGTATGTAATTAATGTATGCATCTAAGTTTATTTGGGAGAATGAGGTGTTGACAAGGTGAATTTGCAGCCATTAGAATTCGTGCTGGATGATGATCTGTCACATAGGAGGTGCTATTGGGTTATGTTGTGATAAACACTAAATTTGTGCCACTAAATTTAATATAAGAATTGTGAGAAGTGATAACCGTAGAAAACCGCTTACTGCTTTTATATTATCATCCTTTACTACCAACTGTTCTGTTTATTGTGTAAATCAATGGTACTTTCAAATATTTCATTATATATTGCCGCATATATAAGCCGCATTTATAATAATTTCTGGTGTAGTACGTAATAGTTTACCTGGCACATCTTTGCAAATTACAAAACAGTATGTCATATCAGTTTCTGATGGGGATGAGATTCTTTTGCAAGCAATGTTTGTCATTTTGTAAGCATAATTTTACAGTATAGCTTTTTTGAAATTATTCATTATTTATGTCCACCAGGCATCTATAAGACCATTGCCACTTACAAATTAGTGTTACAAAGCTGATTTACACTTACCCACATAATGTTATGAAACAGAGAAATTCTAAAATTCCATTCCAATATCTTTCAATATCACATGATGTATATTGTATATATCTTAAAAAAACAATACAATATCTTTATCACATTCCTTTACTTCCACTAAATGCTAAAAAGTGAAGCTCTTATGGGCTTGTACTGTATTTGTGTACAGGTAATAGCTGAATTAATTTCTTTGTTGAATAAAGAATGTTTTTTCATTTACCCATAGTGAAACCTAATGATGACTGTAGAAATTGTATAAAAACATAAGTAAGATCTCACCCAGCTTCTTCTTGAAAGATGCAATGGTATGGTGTTCAACAAATAAGATGGGCAGTTTATTCTGCAACCCTTCATGTTTAAACATATTTCTACTTCCCTTAGGGCTTTTATTTTAACAATCCAGAAAATTATCTACTTGTGATTTGGATTAAAAAATGCACTTCCCCCTGTGGAGCCCTCAGTAGTTTGCAGAAAAGGCTTGCCAGTCATGAGCCATAATGCACTTTAAAGCAGATACAAATAAATATTTTATTATAATGTTGAAGAGGAATGGGGTATATGTTTTGCAATGGAAGATGGTCTCGAAGATGTTTTCATTTTAATGAATTTATATCTGAACTTATATTATATGTCTTTATATAATATAATTTATATCTGAACATGCTCTCAAGTCTAAAGTTTTTTTTAAAATCAACTACAGACCAAACTATTTTTTGCTAAAACGCTTTACTAAAAAAAAATTCAACATACCAGCATCCAAAATAGAGAGACCCCTACTTACACACTGAGCAAAACATGTTTGCTCTGGATGTTAATAGGCACATTGAGATGTACTGAGGGGTAAAAAATATTAGGTCTAGTTAAAGCCAGCAGCCATATCACCCTGCAACTGACAACAGGCAGCCCACTGAAGCTAAGCAGGTGTGAGCCTGGTCAGTACCTGGATGGGAGACCTCCTGGGAAAAACTAAGGTTGCTGCTGGAAGAGGTGTTAGTGGGGCCAGCAGGGGGCGCTCACTGGGTCCTAATGCCCCAGTATAGTGATGGGGACATTATACTATAAACAGGTGCCGTCCTTCAGATGAGAGGTCCTGACTCTCTGTGGCCATTTCTCGAAAAGAGTAGGGGTGTAACCCCGGTGTCCTGGCCAAATTTCCCACTGGCCCTTACCAATCATGGCCTCCTAATAATCCCCCTCTATGAATTGGCTTCATTGCTCTCCTCCCCACTGAGAGCTGATGTGTGGTGAGCGTTCTGGCGCACTATGGCTGCCGTCGCATCATCCAGGTGCACATTGGTGGTGGTGGAGGGGAGTCCCCATTACCTGTAAAGCACTTTGAGTGGAGTGTAAGCAATTATTATAAAGTATATTTTGCTTGTATGGCTTAAAATTAAATATTTTAATATTATGTGGCATTTGATTGTTTTTATTTTGTTAGATTGCTGGTATAAAACTAGAAAATCTATAATAGTTTCTGACTATTAATGTTGTTGCCTTAGATTGATGAGTGATACACGTTCCTGTATCTGGGCGTGTGATAAGTAAACCTTTTCTTGAGCAAAAAGAGGACATTGAACACAAGATAACTGTGTAAGAAACCTGCAACTGGAGCACATCTGAACATCTGAAGTAATGAGAAAATCATTAGATTGCAACAGGATTTATCACACTTTTAATGTCAAAACCCATATCAATGGGAATATGAGCTTTAAATAAAGTTATTTTCTTCAGTCATGAAGCTACCTCTGCTTTCTTTCTCTGTTTCTTTCTTGGTTTCTGTTCTGCCTAGGTCGGTGAAACTAATTGCTCATTCACCGTCTGAACCAGGAGTGATATACTGTACTATATACTAGGAGGGGTAAGAACACCAAAGCAAGCCACAAACAGATTTAGACATTCTGAAAACTGTTTCAGTCAGTTAATTACAGGAGCAGAGTCATCAGCTCTTGGCAAAAAAATAACTTGTGGATGTGTAGATGATATTCAAACATAGAAATAAATAAACAGAATCTGCTATAGAACTTTGTGACATAAAGCAAAAATGTGTTACACTAGGTCATCTAAAACACTCAAAATTGATTTCAGTCACTCTGTTCAACTTGGAATCTCAGCAGGAGTGGATGTGCCCTAGAGCCAATTTGTTTAGTATTTATTAAGTTTCTTTGATTGATGTTTTAAACACTGTAATAGTGGAAGAATGAGTTGAGCCAGAAAGAAATGAATAATTTCTGAAAATAATATTTAAAACTTTAGCTGAACCTATAAAACAAGGATTTGGGGATATGAATTGGGACCTGTCTTTATCTCGACAGGAAACCTTATTTCAGCACTGAACCAATAACATTTTGTAACGTTAAAATGTTCTCCTTATTTCTCTTTTTATTAACATATACAATAGTAATAAGTAGATGTCCTACATATCTACTACAAGAAATTGTGTCAATTCAGTTATTTACCTATCCCCTGTTTTCAAACCCTTGTCTAAACTTTCAATATTCTGTCTATAACCATATGATTTAGTTATTTATTGTTATTTATTCAGGTTATTTATTCTTAATATTATTCTTACTTATGCATATTCTATTCTATTCTGTATGTTGCACATTTATTAAGCACCTGCATGGTATTCAAATTTACACACCTTTCAAATGTTTAGAAAGCAAACAAACTCCATGTGGCCACTGTTTTCAGTGGGACTTGGGAATCTCACGTGACTGTGTATGTCTTTTCTCTGTTCACAAGTGTAATGCCTACATTGGCTGAATGTGCCCTGTTTTATAAGAGTATATGTGTGCATTTTAGTTTAGCTTGTTGGCTAATGAAGTCTGAAGAGGAGCTGGTGTAGAACTGGGGCTTGCGTTCTTTATCAAATTATGATAACACCTATGACAATATTAGTCAATGGTGGTCATCAAGAAAGCTTTGGGAATACTTTGTGTATTTTGTGCCACAACTTTTCTGAGATGCCAACAAATATCTGTAGGAGTGAGTTTAAACCTTTTTAAGATTTAGGAAACTGTCCACCTGCCTATGTCCAAAGAATTGATTCTTAAGCTTTTTTTAAATAAAAACCCTATATCTACATTCCTATTATATAACAAGCTTTGAAGCTTCATTTCAGCCCAGCAGTCATCTTGCAGTTCCTTTTCCAGTTCATTAATAACATGTATTTAGGAGATACAATCCAACCCCCGGAATGTGATTGCGGGAACAAGTCTTCACTGATATCGTGGCTTTAAGTAATTTTGTTTGAAGGACAACTGCTTGAATATGATTTCTGCACTGGGGTAGAGTTGGGGAAGGTGGTGGGGAGTAAGCATACTGATTTTATACTGTATTTATAACTGAGAGACAGTTTACAAACTAAAATAACCACATTAAACCAAGATTAAAATAAAATGATACATTCAAAGCTATTGCATTAGTATGTTGAGTCCCGGGGAAAAGTGGTTTGGGGGTATTTTTTTTGTGAGAATTAAGACTTGCCCTTCTCCCAGTTT